AAACGTCCCAAAAGGCAATCGCTGTTCAAACGTTAAACATTAAAGAAAGTAAACCCCCATTTCGTTCACCAACACTCGCACTGACCGGCGCGGTGAAGTATGGCCAAATAAACCCACGCAACGTTGGGAGGGACCCTCATCCAGCAGTAGACTGATCATGGCTCACGATTATCATCACTAACAAGTCGGCGATGTGAATTCCACATTAATGTACTACGGGAGGGGGACACGACCTACATGCACAACATGGACAAGCGCTGCTAACTATTGTAACGATAAACTCGACTCAAAAAACGAAGCAGCTAAGAGAGTAACGTAATTGGTAACTACTGTAATCACCACACGCCCCTGCTTAAGAGTAACGTTATTGGAAAGGAATCACTCGCCACACGCCCCTGGCTAAGAGTAACGTTATTGGCAACGACTATAATCACCACACGCCCCTGGTGAAAAGTAATTGGCAACAACTAACACTCACCACACACCCCCTGGTTAAACCATTAAAATGCAGGCCGGCTCTGTGGTGGCCTCTTTGGGTGTAGAGAGACGAGAAGTGGCATTCTTTGTTTGCCGTGGTGGTGGGAGGATGTTGAGGACAAGTCATCCATGCCCTCACACAGTCCCTACATGAAGGAACTCCCGCGTGAGTCGAGGCCAGGGCATGGCGGGGGTCTTTAACCAGTGCTTTTCGTGACGTTAGTTCCATAGCTGTAAACCCCTTATCAGTGCCTCCTACCTCATTACAGACCAATTCAGACCTTATTGGTCGCCCCGTGCCCCTTATAAATCTCAACGTTCATCCTCCACAAAGTTCCATCACAAGGAAGAAACGCAAACAAATCGACCAAAAAATGTAAACTGAATTTCCCTAAACAAGAATACGGGTAAACCGTATGCGTTGACACGGCATGTATTTAAAAATCAGAATCAATAATATTTATTTATTACTGGTGGAATCCGATGAGCTACAAAGCTCTTTTTTTAAAATCAAGGACCACCGTCTCGTTGTCATGTTCCATTGCCGGCTGCTCTTGAAATTATTTTCCAATTCGATTATAAATAATAATCTTTTGGCTCTTCTTGTCATTTTGGTTGCCAACCCCTGGTCGAGGTTTACCCAATGGACATCCTGCTGAATGGAAGGGGCACTTGTGTTGGACTCGAGTGTGGATTCAAATTCCTCCGCTACATTTGAAGACTAGCGTGCCCAGAGCAGAAGTTTTATTTTTGAGTGTCGTCGCCGCTTCTTCATCTTCGGTGGAAGTAATCAACGCTTTAAAATGTGTTCCAGTCCCGACCTACTCCGGGCAAAGTCTCCATGATCTCACGAGTCAATTCTAGATTTGAAGCTTTCGTGACTGCAAGGATCCATACTCTTTGGTTCTATTCGGTAAAGTCACGTAGGTAAAAAATAAACAAAAATCACGACGTTTCGGCCACAACACAAAAACACAAGTGGCCGAAAAGTCGTGATTTTCGTTTATTTTTTACCAACGTGACTTTACCGAATAGAACCAAAGAGTATCTCACGAGTCCTTGAGTCTTGATTACTCAATGGAAGAGTTGGGGGGGGGGGGGAGAGGTTACTCAGGGCACAATCATTCAATGGGCAACACAAACATATAACACAATTCTAGAGTACACAAGTGCTTGTTTCTCAAAAAAAACTTGAGTACTCGAGTCTCCACTGCTGAATGGAAGGGGGAGGGGGAGTGCGGTGCGAGCGGTGGAGTAGCGGTCAGCGCGCTGCGCTACGCAACCCGGCGACCCGAGTTCAATTCCCCACTCACGGCCAACACCAGCGACGGATTATCTGAACCAGTCCTGGGCCTCGTGCCCTAGGTAGACTCGGCCCCAAATGTGTTACCTGGTGCGGTGCGTAAAAACAACGGTTGGACACGTTCTCACGACCACCATCAAGACAAAGATTTCCCCCCCCCCCCCCCGTATAGCCTCAACAGACTGTTGGGGCAAGTGCTGTTAGCGAGCACCCATGAAGGCCGGTACGGCACACGTGGGTGGCCAGCACCACCACGCCCTGCCCGCCTTTGTCTCCCTAATGGCGAGGTTTACACAGCGCACCAGGTGTGTAACTGGCTGGGGGTTCAATCTAGATTTGAAGCTTTCGTGACTGCGGTATGGCTGGGGTTCGCCATCATCTCCCCCACCCCACCATGCTCTTCTAACTGCCCCCGCCTCACCACCACCACCCATTAGCGTTGTACCGCACGGGGAACCTAAGCCATTGGTTTGGTGGCGAAACGTCTGACGCGATGCCCCAATACACATGGGGCGCGCTGAACAATGGGTGCGCGCGCGTCTGGCAGCAGCTCCCGCATGTTCGCGTTCCTTTTGTGTGCTGATAAATAAAGAAATAGACGAGTCAACAAAAGTCCCTCCACCACCTCTCCCCTCTCCGCATTTCTAAGAGATCATCTCGTTTCAGTCCACCGCCCTAGTGAAGTTGTGAACTACGATTGCGTTTGTTTAAAAGTAGACAAAACTTCAAACCGCTTTCGACTTTCTGGGTCTCAGGAGTGGCAGCAGGCAAATCTGTAAAATGCAATACTGTGATGTTGCCACACAGTCACAGTACTGTATACGCATATTTAACTTAAAAATAGAACTTCAAAAACACTCAGTGGGGCTATATGGAGCGGTGGTGCATTGGTGGTGGTGTCTTGCACTGGCACGATGAGACCACCCCAGCCCTCCGAGTTCGATTCCGAACCACGGCTAACATCGGCGGCGGCGAGCGATGCGGTGAACCCGATTGCGGGCCCACCACACCATCCCACAACGTCGCATGGACCGAGACCAGCGTGGCGAATCCCACGACTATCACACGACCCGCCAACCGCGTGGCTGGTGGTGGTGGTGGCCGTCATCCAGCAGTGGATTTGAGTCACAGAGCAGTAAATTGAGCAAGTTCTACAGCGGGATCTCCCCACCCCCCACACCACCAGGCCCTCGACTCGCGTGGAAACGCCGTAAAAATTGAGGCAACAGGACAAAGATTACGACGCTGCAACACGCGGCTGGCTGCCTGCCTGTCGAGCTGGATTGCCGCACGGGCTGTGATGAATTACACTCGCGTCTATTGAGTTACTGCGCCATAATTAATTACCCCCTCCCTACCCACTCCCCCAGAGGTCTCTTTCGCAAATTTAGTGAAGGGCTGCCATAAGTGTGAGGTTTTTTTTTTTGGGGGGGGGGCATGCCCCCCTCGAGCGTGGCAATCACCTCGAGCTCTGCGGAGACCCGTGTTGGGTGGGGGGATGCCCCAAATCCCAACCACTGAGACCTCAGATCCGGGACTCCAATTCTGAGTCCCAGACTTCTGAACCCAGAAACCACATTGCTGCGGACGGTAGATTTTGGCTCTCGGATTTGAAGCTCGTCGGATTCCTCTAGTATAAATATTCCGATTCCGAGGACCCTCTACTCGAACTCGGCACCATATATTCTGGAACCCAGGAGATGATCCCACACACCCCGAACCCAATAACCCAGACGACGCTCGATAACCCCCCCAAACTCCCCTCCTATACCCCCCCTGGATCCAGAAACCCAAAACTCGGCACCCTCCATCCCAGTTCCCGGACCCGAGGTCCCCGAAACCTGGTCCCAGCCGAGGAACCATTAAAACCGATTCCCCGACACGGAGCAGCAAGGGGATTTAGAGAGGTTTGCAGAGTCCCCCCGCCAGGGCCCCAGATTGTGGGTAGAGGAGCCCCGTCGCTCGCGGGCCTCCCCCCGTGACCTTGAGGCGCGCCGCGTCTCCTTCCCCGCGCAAGGGCGCACGGAGTCGCGTTGCCCTTTGCCAAGCCGCCCCCTCCGGGTCCGCAATGCCCTCGGAAATGCCCTTGGCAACCCGCCCCCACCCTCCAGCCGTGTGTTTGCCCACATCACTTAATCGGCGGTCAGAGCAACCCGAGCCGCGATGTTCTCTTCTGCGTCCGTAACGCAGCCATCTCTGCTCGCAATCGGCGGCGCCTCGAGTCCACCACGGATTCACCATCATAGACCCCATCACCGTTAAACCTTCAGAACCACCGCCTTCATCACCATACGGCCACTACCAACACCATCATCGCTACCAGGAAATGGCACGCATTACCATCACTTTCACCAAAAACACCCATCGCCAACATCACTAAACCAAAAACCACCACCATCACTAACATCATCACTTGTATTCTTGGTTCCTTCCCTTATACGTGACTTTACCGAAAGAACCAAGAATATGAATCCCTGCAGACACGAAAGCTTTAAATCATCATCACTTATCACAAACCACCTTTATCGCCATCACAACGGCCACTATACCCACCCACACTATCACAATCACTTTCATCGCCATCAAGCACGACTTTCACCACTACCAATAATCATCATCACCACCACCACTAGCCACCCACCAATTGTTACTCCCGATACCGTTAACAACATCGCAATCTTCGACCCCATTAACTCTCCCCCCCCCCATCGCATCAGCATCGCTCCGGCTCAGGGAGTCACGAGCAGCCGGCAGGCATCAAAACCACGCGGGGTGGTGGGGGAGGGATGGAGCCACGCGGGGCAGCCGAGGGGAAGGAGCCAAGGCGGGGGGTCGGGGAAGTGTGGAAGGAGCCATTCGATAAGAGCCGGCAACTCACATTCGCGTCGCTGAGTCGTGTTGCCGGACGCCGCGGGTGCGGCGAGGAGTTGGCTCCTGCCGGCGGCAGCGCGCCCGGCGCCGGTCAGCGCTTTCATCAGGTAGCTCGCCATTACGGTCGTGTCGGGGCAGCGGCAGCAGCAGAAGAAGAAGAGAAAGAGGTGGCCGGTTGTTGAAGGTGGTGGTGGTGGAGGAGGAGGTGACGGCGGCGCTGCCGGAACCAAAGAGTGGGGGGTCGCAGTTGCGTGGGGAGCGCCCTTAAAGGGAGCCGCGCCGCCTTTTGAATTCCCAAGAACGGATGCGCGACACGCGCGATGCTGATTGGCTAAGACAGCGCGGCGGGGGGGGCGGAGTAAGGGTGAGGAGGGGGGTTAGGTGGAGGTGGGGGTAAGCGCTCGCCCAATGGGGCGCGTTCTTGGGCGCGCGTCCACTGTGGGAAATATAGAATGCGATGACGTGTCAGGGCCGTTTTGTCGTTAACTTTATTGACGCGCGCCCCCAAAGACGGCGCGAGAAGGTGGTGGTAGCGGGGGCGGGGCGGGGGGATTCCGCACGTGTTTGGTGAAACTTTATTGGTTGCCCGTCTTTTCCTGCCAACTACGAGGCAACGTCAGCAGCGGGTGAGGTAGCCATTCTCCATCCACTGCTGGAGGCAGGTCAACCACCACCACCACCTATCCCCCCCCCCCAACAGCGCTCTAATAGCGTCCACCACTGCTCACGACTTTACGAACTGACCTCCCTCACCACTCCACCGCGCCGTCGCTCCGTCTCCGCGGGGTCGTCCTCTGCGCGGTAAGAGCGGGAGCGGTGTGGATTGAGTGCAGCAGTAACGTCGCCTCGGCTGCTGTTGGTTGATAAGCGGCGCTCCACGTCGTCGCTAACGCCGCGGGGGGGAGCTCGGTTGGCTACGTACGGTGCGAAAGAAGTTCAACACACACACGGCATTTGTGTGACCCTTTCGCCGGAGTTCATTCATCCCCTCCCCCCCCACCCGGGTCCCAGCCCTCCCCCGGAGAGGTCCCCTTACAGACGGGTGGAGGGGTTCCCCCTCGTCGTCGTGAGGGGATAAGGGGACAGCAGAGGACTCGGGGTCCAGGGGTCGCCACGGGCTCCAAAGGCCCTCACTCACTCGGGCTCCAAGGGCGCTCGCTTTACCAATCACCATGTAGTTGGCTTCAGTTACCCAGGGCCGTAGCGGCATTGGGAGGATAACCTCCGAGCGTCACGTGCAATGTAGCGGTAAGGTCACGTAACGCGAATTCCCCGTCGCAACATCGGCTAACGATGAGCATGGGGGGGTAACGCGAGTTATGTATGCAGTGTGCCTGGCCTTACCCTAACATTTGAATTTTACACCGTGGTAACGTGAGTTAACACCGTGGTAACGTGAGTTAACACCGTGGTAACGTGAGTTGACACCTTGGTAACGTGAGTTAACACCGTGGTAACGTGAGTTAACACCGTGGTAACGTGAGTTAACACCGTGGTAACGTGAGTTAACACCGTGGTAGCGTGAGTCGCCACCGTGGTAACGTGAGTTAACACCGTGGTAACGTGAGTTAACACCGTGGTAACGTGAGTTAACACCGTGTGCTAACTCAAGAGTTTACTGTGCCGCAGAGTGACGTGGGTTTAGGGGACAGGACTCTGGGTCACCTTCCCGCCTCTCCCCACACCCCTCCTGCCCCCCCCCCCTTCCCCACCTACCCCCCCTTTCTCCCCCACCCCTCCTGCCCCCCCTCCTTTTCCCCCCACCTTTTCCCCCCACCCCTCCTGCCCCCCCTTTCTCCCCCATCCCTCCTGGCCCCCTTCTCCCCCACCCCTCCTGCCCCCCCCCTCCGTCCCCCACCCCTCCGGCCCCCCACTTAACCTGCCCCCTCTTGCCCCCCCCCCACCCATCCTGCCCCCCCCCCCACTTCTCCTGCCCCCCTCTTGCCCCCACCCCTCCTGCCCTTGTCTGCCAGTCGTTACGAGTTTTGGCCCTGGTCCGCTCCTAAACGTTGCCATCCGTCTCCATTAGGGGGCATGATGACGGTCGCGCAGGGGTTGCGGGGGCTTGGAACCCGAGCTTGACGGTTCGATCCCAGGACAGGGGGAGACTCGTGACGGTTCGATCCCAGGACAGGGCGGATGGACGGACACTTGACGTGCAGATCATTCGACCCTCTACCGAAGACTATGCGATCGTCACGATTCTGGGTTATGGGCTTCCAAGTCCAGATTGATAACAAATGCCGGCGTCGTGGAGATTATACGTTGTTAACAAGGTAAGCAGGCAATACGCCTCCTCGTTCCCATCGCCGGCCTACCACGTGTTTTGTATGTTTTACTCATCCCATCAACCACTCTGTGGTCTTGCTTCTCTGCGAGTGCATAACCTCATCAGCGTTGGTGCAATACAAGCAAAAACTACGCGACAGGTTTCCACATGCAGTGTCTCATCGGCAGTCAGGCTCGTTTAAACCAATGCTGGTGAACTGCCAGCTGTTCTAGGCAAAGTCTCTCTGTCAGATATGGGTCCTAGTGCTACGCAAAACTAGCCTGTGATACACAACACAAAACAATTCAGAATATTTTAAGATTTTAATCTTCTGTTCATGCCATCGTGGTGAATGGAGCACCTCGAGGTGGCTGCAGGGGTTGCGCGAAGTCGATTTAAAATATCAGTAGCCATGCTCAATCCACTGGTGGATGAAGACCTTCCAAAGTTGTGGCCATCCCAGCGATCCTTGCAGTGCCTTGCACACGGGCTCCTGTTGTGGCTTCAGCTCCACGGGGCATGTACTCTTGGGCCGTCTGCTTCACGGAGGACGTTAAAGATCCTGTGGCATTCGAAAAGGAGGAGGCAATTGTGCGCCGGTGTCACGGCCCAAATTGGACAGTTTGAAAACATTACGAAAATTTAACACGTAGGCGTTTGCGACCAAATTTTACTCATGATAAAGGTTTGTGGGTTAGATCGCGTTAAAGCTAATCAAATACTACACAAAGCTCGCGAATGATTGTCACAAGAGAGAATATAGCACAACAGGAGTGAATTGTCTCACATTTCTGAATATCTAAAGCACTTGTACTTCCATATCAGCAATAGTGTATCCATACATTATTGGAATATAACCGACACTATAACAACAATCGGCTGATAATGTATTTAACGTAACCAAAACTAACCAAATTAATAAATTCTCGAGACTTCATAACAAACAATTCCCAACTAATCACGAACAATTGAAAAATAAAACTTTAATTAACTTAACTAACACTGATTTAGCCAGCGACATGGTATCGGTCCTCTCTAAAGGTCTTAACTTTTTCCAGTGGATGAGATAATTGCTGAGGTGGAATCAGCGGTAAGACACCTTCCACATAATGAGGCAGAGATGACTCGGCACAAAGTTGCCAAAATAATTGAGAATAGCAAAGTACCAAAAATAAATATTAGCTTTAGCGAAGCAATGGCCTTAAGAGAGATTCGATCAAATAAGGATACAGTGAAACCTTGGATTGCGAGCATAATTCGTTCCGAAAACGTGGTCGTAATCCAAAGCACTCGTATATCAAAGCGAATTTCCCCATAAGAAATAATGGAAACTCAGATGATTCCTTCCACAACCCAAAAATACTGTATTCATATAAAAATGATTAATACAAAGTAACTTTTATATTATTGTAATGTAATATAAAGTAATCAAATGTATTCGTTAAATTTAATCGTGGCTGGTGTGAGAGAGACGAGAGAGAGGAGGAGGGTTATTGTCCAGGACGACTTTCACTTGTAGTACAGTTACTAAAGAACAGTCACTACACTTGGACACAAAATAAATAAAAAAACATGCCTTACGCACACACACGTGGTCACAACACTATACTGTAGTAAACAGTATACTATAGTAAACACTTTACTCTAGTAAATAGTATACGCTCGCACGGATGTTGACTATACGAGTGAGGCATGCCGACAGGCCGAGCATGGGAGATGATTACCCACAATCCCGCAGCGAGAGAGAGAGAAGAACCATTGGCTCAGTTGCGATCACGTGACGCTCGGCAGACAAAGCGTACACGTACACTACTCGTATTGCAAGACATCGCTCGTTTATCAAATTATTATTTATTTAAACTTTTTGCTCGTCTTGCAAAACACTCGCAGACCAAGTTACTCGCAATACAAGGTTTCACTGGCGGCTGGTAAAGGCCGCACAACTGTAGTAATGTCACGAGCGGAATATGATAAGATTTACTGGAGGAAAGTAGCTATATTAAAAGTAAACGAGATCCAACTAGTATTTTAGAACGTAAGACTACTGTAATCATTGCAAATTCATTGATTCCCAAGGCTGACCAATACCAAATTAAGCCAAGGGCCTCAAAACCACCTACACCAAATATTGATCAAAATCGGTATCCCATTATGACCCATAGTAAGTAAAATAGGCTCTGCCACATATAAATTAACAAAATATATAACAAAACAAATACAGCCCTACATCAGTAGGACATCTTCATTCATAAGACATTCAGGACATCTTTGAATGTGATTAAAGATATTAAACTTAACCCTAATGATATTCTGGTGAGCTTTGATGTAATTTCTCTATTTACTAAGGTTCCGGTTAACGAGTCACTTAAATTACTCGATACGCAAGTAAATAATACAGGTTTACCAAAAGATATTCCAAAACCAGCCGACCAATGTCTAAATAACACTTATTTCTTTTGGCGAGGTGATTTCTTTAAACAAAAGTAAGGAGTAGCAATGGGCTCTTCTTTGTCTCCTGCTATTGCGAATCTGTACATTGAAACCTGAAGCAAGAGCGCTTGCTTCAGGTACATTCAAACCATCTTTTTGGTTTAGATATGTGAATGACACTTTGGTTGTCTGGCCACATGGTAAAGGTACACTTAATGAATTTCGAAATCATCTCAATTTGCAAAACCCGGCCATCCAGTTCACCATGGAAATGGAGGTGAATAACACACTCCCATTCCTGGATATTTTGATCGGACGCGGCCTAAATGGTAAAATAACAGCATTTACCGAAAGGAAACGCACACTGATGCATATCTGAATGCAGATTCTCATCATCACCCCACACAGAAATCCTCTCTCATCAAGACGCTAGTACATTGGGCTAAAAACAGTGTCAGAAAGTATTACGGTAAACAAAGTGCGCCCACTTCAAACATTTTCAAACATTGTCGTTTCATTGTACAAACAATTCGAATAATTTAAAACGTGAAAACGTGCAATTTTAGTGTGAGTGGTTTATTCAGCAGTGCTTAAGTCAAAGGTAAGTGTTGCATAGTGGATAGTCCTACCATGAAAAAATGAAACGAGTTATGACATGTCACACGTGTAAAATATTTTTGGGATAGCCCGCACCTCCATATACCCCGCAGGGTCTTGTTTTGTTTGTAAAAAGCGGTATACCCCGTGGGTTATATGCAGGAAAATACGGTACTGGCCGAGACTAATTCGAGAATGCATTGAAATTGAGAGATACAGTAAAACCTTGGATTGCGAGCATAATTTGTTTCGGAAACGTGTTTGGAATCCAAAGCACTCGTATATAAAAGCACTCGTATATCAGTTGTGATCACGTGACGCTCGGCAGACAAAGCGTGTGCACGTACACTACTCGTGTTGCAAGACCCTCGCCCGTTTATCAAATTAATATTTATTTTAAAAAATTGCTCGTCTTGCAAAATACTCGCAGACCAAGTTACTCGCAATCCAAGGATTTACTGTATACAAATATTTTAACTGCTCTGACAGCTACAGGCTTAGTGCGGCCTGGAAACATTATTAAGTAATACATGTTAACAACAATTCCTTATAGAGTAAACATACACTAATGAATTAACTAATTACTAATATATTATATAATTACATTATCCCCCTATAATTACAATTCCGCCTGTGATATCTGCACCTGATGGGTTCAGTGATGACGTCACCCTGCTGCTGCTGTTCTATTTAAGACCGGAAGCAGGTGGATTGCTTCACTATTCTGGCAAATCGCCCAATGGTGCTGGATGTAATTACCAGCGAAACGTCGTATTCAAATTGTAAATGTTGTGGATTTACTCTCCAACACACCGGTGGGCTGAAGTAGTCACTAATCGGCGCGTTGTTTACGTGACAAACCTTACTGGCTGTGCCGGGTGGTGGAGAGTTCCAACACATTTATACTTACATGATCTAACCCAAAAACCTTGATTATTAATTACGAAATTTGAAACATTTATTTAACTGCAATAACAAGTAGCAGCATCGCAGTCTACTGGCAGACCAACACCCGTCCACTTGCGGGCCGGTGCCGTCTTTAATTTGTGCTGCCCAGGGACGGCTGCCAATGAATAGGTGGTCCCCCCAGGCCATGTTTCTAACCATCATTGCCTGACGCCGGCCCATGTTGCCGTGTTCCTGCCGTGCACTCGTACGTGCGAATGTACGTTGAACTTCTCTCGTACTGTACGTAGCCAACCGTGCTAATCGGAGGTGCGCTCGTGGCAGGATCGCAATGATCGCGGGGTCCCACACTCAGCTGACGGCGCGGCAGCAGCAGCAGCTGGCGTCGCACATCGTCCGCATGCTGGGCGCACACCGCCACATCCTGGACGCCTACATCGTGGTACCGCCCGTCCACCTCCACGTCTCCCAAACGGCGCTCGTTTAGTCGGGGTGGCTTGGTGTAACGGGCGCTGCCGCCACGGCGATGGCGGCGGCGGCGGTAGTGGTGGTGTAACGGGGCAGGGCGCTGGACTCGCAATCCAGAGGTCGCCGCCGGTTCTATCTCCCCCGCCCCCCCCCCCCCCCCCCCCCCCCCCCCCCCCCCCTCCGGCGCGGCAGCTGAAACGACGCGGCAAGTTTACTCAATCCCACCACCTACCACCATCACTCGCCACCTGTGTCCACCCAGCAGTATAAATGCTTTCGCCACAGTCGACCGTCTGGTCACGTGTGGTGGGGTAAAGTGTGGGGGACTCCCATTTCTTCAAAGATGCGAATGATTGCTTTGTGTTAACTACTAAGGGGAGGCCATTTGCTTGGTCACAGCTCGACTGTGACTCGACGCGCCTCGCCCTCGAACGCTCGGGCTCAGCTCAGGCTTGAGCCGCTCACCTGCTTTCGAAAACTGCGTGAGCGAGCGGCTCGGCCATGGCTCGGCTAAGGCTCAGCTCGCGGAAATCCTGAGCGCGGTCCCAGTTAAGCGCAGGGCTTCGAGCCATGGCTCGCTTGAGCCAGCCCGAGCCGTGAGTAAGAATACGGGCCTAGGTTTTTTGTTTGTGTGTCCTCCTGCGCCACACTGTCCGTCACGCCACCACCCCCCCCCCCCGCGCGTCCGCGGTGTCGCCAGGAATTCTTCACGGAGAACCACTGGGAGAAGCTCCCAGCGCGGTGGCGAGAGGTTCTGGATCAGCTGACGCCGGCCCAGCTGGGCTCCTTGCTGCTGTGCGGAGAGCGGCGCGGGTAAGGGTGGGAGGTGGGCCCCCCCCCTGTCCGCCCCCCCCCCGCTCCCCCCCCCCCGCAGCTTCGCTCGCACGGGGAGCTCCGAGTGATCGGAGACGGCGCGCCCCTGCGGTGTCAAGCGCGGTTCTCCGTGCAGTTCTCCGTGATCTTGTGCGGTTCGCCGTGCATCCTGTCGTGTGGTTGCAGGCGTCTTTGTGAAATACACGTGGTTTCCGAGGTTCTGCGTGGTCTGTGGTTATCTGTAGTGTCATGTGATTATGCGTGTGTAGTGGTTCCGTCTGATGCCATGCGGTTCAGTGTAGTTTATTCGGATCCTAATTGGTCTGCATGGTTCTTTGTGATGTTGCGTCGCATGGAGCTATGTGATTCCCTGTGCTTGTGGGTTTGACGCGCAGATTTTTCTCCGGGTCCTCCGGTATTTTCCCTCCACATTACGAATCGACGTGCGCTCAGAGTATTTGTCCACTTTATTTCGCTCTCATTTGTGGCCAGGTCGCTTCTGAAAAAGAGCTATAGAGCTCGGTGGGCCTTAACTAGTAAAATAAACACAGTTTAACCTAAAAATAGTTCAGTTTAAATGTCGCGTAGTTCTTGGTGGTGTCGTGCGAGTGTGGCCCTGTGAAGTTCTACGTGGCTCTGTGTGTCACCACCCGTGTCCCCACCCACCGCCCCCACCGCCGCGTGTCTCCGCGTCGCTCTGTCGCGCCCAGGCTGCCCTCCGTGTGGCCGCTGTCTCTGCTCGCGTTCCGCGCCGCGTGCTCCGCGCTGCGGCTTCCTCGGGTGCCGCGGGGGAGCGTAACGGGGTCCGCGGGAGGCACGGGGACCGCGGGAGGCGCGGGGCCGACGGGAGGGACCCCGGAGTTCAGGCAGAACCCCTGCCAGAGCGCCCTGCTGCAGCACCTGTACCGCGTGCACGTGAAGCCAAAGAAGCAGCACGAGATCCAGAGGCTGGGCATGGTGAGGAGTTCAACGAAGACAAAGATCCACCCGCCGTGTTAGCCTTGACGGGCTCTTGGGAAAAGTGCTATTAGTGAACACCTATGAAGGCCGGAACGGTGTATGAGGGGCGCATGGCCAACATCATCCGCCTTTGTCTTACCAGTGCGGATGTTTGCACACAACTTCGGGTACCCATTTAAGTCCGAGTTGACCCAGGGGATGCCCAGGACAAAGTTCAGATATTTGTCACTGATTTTTTTTACATATACATTGAGGGAAAAAAGTATTTGAGCCCCTGCTGATTTTGTACGTTTGCCCACTGACGAAGAAATGATCAGTCTATAATTTTAATGGTAGGTTTATTTGAACAGTGAGAGACAGAATAACAACAAAATCCAGGAAAACGCATGTCAAAAATGTTATAAATTGATTTGCATTTTAATGAGGGAAATAAGTATTTGACCCCTCTGCAAAATATGACTTAGTACTTGGTGGCAAACCCCTTGTTGGTAATCACAGAGGTCAGACGTTTCTTGTAGTTGGTCACCAGGTTTGCACACATCTCAGGAGGGATTTTGTCCCACTCCTCTTTGCAGATCTACTCCAAGTCATTAAGATTTCGAGGCTGACGTTTGGCAACTCGAACCTTCAGCTCCCTCCACAGATTTTCTATCGGATTAAGGTCTGGAGACTGGCTAGGCCACTCCAGGACCTTAATGTGCTTCTTCTTGAGTCACTCCTTTGTTGCGTTGGCCGTGTGTTTTGGGTCATTGTCATGCTGGAATGCCCATCCACGATCCATTTTCAATGCCCTGGCAGAGGGAAGGAGGTTCTCACCCAAGATTTGACGGTACATGGCCCTGTCCATCGTCCCTTTGATGCAGTGAAGTTGTCCTGTCCCCTTAGCAGAAAAACACCCCCAAAGCATAATGTTTCCACCTCCATGTTTGACGGTGGGGATGGTGTTCTTGGGGTCATAGGCAGCATTCTTCCATTTGCGAATAATCGCACCAACTGTTGTCACCTTCTCACCAAGCTGCTTGGCAATGGTCTTGTAGCCCATTCCAGCCTTGTGTAGGTCTACAATCTTGTCCCTGACATCCTTGGAGAGCTCTTTAGTCTTGGCCATGGTGGAGAGTTTGGAATCTGATTGATTGATTGCTTCTGTGGACAGGTGTCTTTTATACAGGTAACAAGCTGAGATTAGGAGCACTCCCTTTAAGAGTGTGCTCTTAATCTCAGCTTGTTACCTGTATAAAAGACACCTGGGAGCCAGAAATATTTCTGATTGAGAGGGGGTCAAATACTTATTTCCCTCATTAAAATGCAAATAAATTTATAACATTTTTGACATGCATTTTTCTGGATTTTTTGTTGTTGTTATTCTGTCTCTCACTGTTCAAATAAACCTACCATTAAAATTATAGACTGATCATTTCTTTGTCAGTGGGCAAACGTACAAAATCAGCAGGGGATCAAATACTTTTTCCCTCGCTGTATTCGCGGGTTGCTGAATTCGTAGCGCAATGCGCAAACCAATGTCCCGGTACTGCCCATTCACACACCAATATGCACTAGCTGAGGCTGACATGCTTGCGTGTGTGCGCGTGGCACGGACAGTTGGTGCGTCACCTGTGCGATGAGGTGGGGTGCGAGGAGGTGGTGGACGTCGGCTCAGGACAGGTGAGCAGCCATCAGCACAAACCCACATCTTCACCCACATCCTCATCTTAACCCACAGCAACATCCACCAGTCGCCACTCAATAACGGTGACGTCACCACGGCACTTGTGCCAGGCTAGGTGCCATGAGTTGGCCGACCGAGATGGCTGGCAGAGGCACCAGCTGTGCTCCCCACTGCGCCGTCCACACGCTCGACTTGCGTTGACCCTCACTCAGGGCCCACCCAGGGCTCCGGCCGCCCGCTTGACCCCGCCGCCCGCGTGACCCCGCAGGGCCACCTCTCCCGATTCCTGGGCCTTGGGCTGGGACTGGGCGTCACGGCCGTTGAGGCCGACCCGGCCCTCGTCTCCGCCGCCGTCCGCCTCGACCGCCAGCTCCTGGCGACCGCGGCCCGCAAGCACGGCGCCGCCGGTGGCACCGGCGACGCCGCCCCCGTCAGGCCGCCGCGCCACCGGGTGGGCCGGGTGGACGCCACCGCCAGTTGGCAGCAATTCGTGGCGCTGCTGCGAGACGCGCCGGGCCCAGGGAGCGGCGACACGGGCGGTCCGATCTGCGGCGATCCGGAGGAAGGGCTCCCCGGAAGAGCTGATGGGGGGGCGGCAGCAGCGGTGACTTCGGTGGCCACCGACGGGCCGATCGACAGGCCGATCGACGCGCCGGTATGTGGGCCGGCGGACGGGCCCGGCGTGGTGCTCACGGGGCTGCATGCGTGCGGGGACCTGAGCGCCGCGCTGCTCCGTCTGTTCGTGCGCTGCCCGTGCGTCCGCGCCGTCACCTCGGTCGCCTGCTGCTACATGAAGCTGTCAACGTGCGAGCAGCAGCAGCCGGGCGACCCGGCTTGGACGCCCGCGCGTGGCGATAACCAGGGTAACTCGTTTCCGCTCGCGAGGGCAAACGTCGGTGTTGTCTGATCGCTAAAATGTGAGAGATGGCGGCAGTTGGGGAGGCCTTCATCTGTTCATCCAGCGGCGGATAGATCGTGGCCGACGACGCACTCCCACAGTTTCACGAGCCTCCCCCCCCCCCCCGTTGCTCCGTACGTCCGAATGCCCCCCTCTCCTAAAACTAAACTAAGTGACCTGAGTCGGTAAAAATAACAGAGGCATTAAAACAAAATACAAGGACAGAAATTAGAAAATGAGAGCAGCACAACTGAGTTGCAGGAGAAATAAAAACACTGCACATAACATAAGTTGACTTCGTCAAATGACTTTTGAACTATTCAAAGTAAAACTGAGTCGGATAAAACATAACACCAAATTAAGGTAATCGTTGTCCAGTTACCGCAGCCCTTGCGAGAGCTATGCCAGACTACTAAAACTAGTTTTATTTTTCGATTTAAAGCTTTCGTGACTGCAATGATTCATCTTCTTTGGTTCTTTCGGTAAAGTCACGTAGAATGATAATAAAATAATAAATTGATAAAATAAAAATAAAATAACACAATAATATTATTGTGTTAGTTTTATTTTGCCAGGTAAGGCCCACTGTGCATGTAGCTCTTTTGAAGAAGCAACCTGGCCACAACTGATAGCTCAACGAATTGGCTTATGACCTTGTGGAAATGTATAGCAGCCACATACTCCGAACGCGTCATGTTCATTCTAAATGCGGAGGGAAAAGCTGGAGGACCCGGAGAAAAATCCACACGACCACGGGGAGAGAGAGAGAGAGACACCGCACACTGCAAATACACAGCAGGCATCGGGGTTGGGAACGAACCCACGACCTCCTGCATATCGGGTGAGGTAGTTAACATCTCATAGCCACCGTCGCACGTCACACCTCGCGCCCCCCTTCTCCGCAGAACCCGGTTACCCCATGAGTTCGTGGCTGGCGGCCCTGCCAGGCCACGGCCTGCCGTACCGCTGGCGCGAGCTGGCGTGCCACGGGCTGGAGGATCACGCCGAGCGGCTCACCGCCGCCGACGACGGCGCCGCCGCCGCCGCCCTGCGAATCCACGCGCACCGCGCCGCCCTCGAGATCCTGATCCGCGATCGGCGGCGTGACATGGCCCGCGCGCCGGTGCGTCCCATCAAACACGCCCACCGCCTGGAGTTCAGCGAGTACGTGGGGGGGGGGGGTGGGGTAGGGTGGGCATGGGGGGAGGGGGTGGGGGGGTCGCACGGTTGGGTTGGGTGGGGGGCACCCGCTGAGCTTGAGCAAGTACAATCACGTTCGCCCAGTAAGTGGCGGTGACGTCGCCACGACGCCTGTGCCAAGCTTGGTGCAACCTCGAGGCCGCGCGAAGAGTGCCGAAGGCTCACTGCTGGCCGGTCACGGGGACAGACCCGGCAGGTGCCACGGGTCGGCCGACCGAGACGGCCGCCAGGTGCACCACCAGCCGTGCCCCCCACTGCGCCACCTCGCTGTGTTTTATCCGCCCTGCGCGCCCCGCTCGTCGTCGCGAGCGCCGCTCCTCTGCCCTCCGTTGTTGCTGGAGGGCGACCACCGCAGTCACCGCCGCTACGTGCGCCCGGTTGCTCGCCGCGGCCTCCCCCCTCCCGCCCCAGGTACGCGGCGCTGGGCCTCGCGCGGCTGGGTCTGGCGCCGCTGGGCGCGGGCGACGGCGAGCGCGTGCGGGCGGCGCTGGGCCAGCGGGGCCGAACCCTCGCCTTCTTCACGCTGGCGCTGGCGCTGGCGCCGCTCGTCGAGACGCTCGTGCTGCTCGACCGCGCGCTCTACCTGCACGAGCAGGGTGCGTACACTCTCCCTTAGCTCCCCCTGCACTCTCCCCCTGCACTCTCCCTTAGCTCCCCCTGCACTCTCCCCCTGCACTCTCCCCCTGCACTCTCCCCCTGCACTCTCCCCCTGCACTCTCTCCCCGCACTCTCCCCCTGCACTCTCCCCCTGCACTCTCCCCCTTCACTCTCCCCCTGCACTCTCCCCCTGCACTCTCCCCCTGCACTCTTCCCCTGCACTCTCCCCCTGCACTCTCCCCCTGCACTCTCCCCCTGCACTCTCCCCCTGCACTCTCCCCCTGCATTCTCTCCCTGCACTCTCCCCCTGCACTCTCCCCCTGCACTCTCCCCCTGCACTCTTCCCCTGCACTCTCCCCCTGCACTCTCCCCCTGCACTCTCCCTTAGCTCCCCCTGCACTCTCCCCCTGCACTCTCCCCCTGCACTCTCCCCCTTCACTCTCCCCCTGCACTCTCCCCCTGCACTCTCCCCCTGCACTCTCTCCCTGCACTCTCCCCCTGCACTCTCGCCCTGCACTCTCCCCCTGCACTCTCCCCCTGCACTCTCCCCCTGCACTCTCCCCCTGCACTCTCCCCCTGCACTCTCCCCCTGCACTCTCCTCCTTCACTCTCCCCCTGCACTCTCCCCCTGCACTCTCCCCCTGCACTCTCCCCCTGCACTCTCTCCCTGCACTCTCCCCCTGCACTCTCCCCCTGCACTCTCCCCCTGCACTCTCTCCCTGCACTCTCCCTCTGCACTCTCCCCCTGCACTCTCCCCCTGCACTCTCTCCCTGCACTCTCCCTCTGCACTCTCCCCCTGCACTCTCTCCCTGCACTCTCCCCCTGCACTCTCCCCCTGCACTCTCCTCCTGCACTCTCCCCCTGCACTCTCCCCCTGCACTCTCCCCCTGCACTCTCCCCCTGCACTCTCCTCCTGCACTCTCCCCCTGCACTCTCCTCCTGCACTCTCCCCCTGCACTCTCCCCCTGCACTCTCCCCCTGCACTCTCCCCCTTCACTCTCCCCCTGCACTCTCCCCCTGCACTCTTCTCCCTGCACTCTTCCCCTGCATTCCCCCTGCACTCTCCCTGCACCCTGCATGAGACCAGGAGGGGGCGCCAGGCGACGGGAGTTCACGGTTGCGTAACGGAGCGCTGATGCGGTGACTCAGACTTGGTAACAACAACAACGACGACGACGCAGCTCTCAACCACCACCCCCGTCACGCCACAGGCCCGCACACGCACGCGTCCTTGCGTGCGTCCAAGTAGATCTGTCCCTCGGTGGCGAGCGGTGGCGCCGCGAACCCGGCGACCCGGATTCCGTCCCCGCTCTGCGACCGATAGCCGTGGCGAATTTACTTTGGAGCGGCCTCCGGATCTCCCCTAGGGTCGATTCGGCCTGAGCCACCGTGTAGCTGGTGCGGTGCGACAGCATCGCCACCGAGGGAGACGGAGGCAGCGGCGGAGCGTGGTGCTGGCCACCCAGCCGCTCGCGTGCGGTGCCGGCTTTTTCATCGGTGTTTTACTTGCCGTGAATACTCGCCGCAACGCACTTTGTGGGTTTTTTTTTTTCAATCAGACCCCGTACGGGGGGGATCCTCGCGCCCTCAGCGTATGTTGCCTCCCATCTCTGCCCTGTGCCCCCCTCTCCCGTCGCAGGCTTTGAGAGCTTCCTGGTGCCGCTGTTTGACCCCACGCTGTCCCCTCGGAACTGCGTCCTCGTCTCACTGAAGAGGTCGCCGAGCGACACCTGACCTCGCCCCCCACCCCCAACGCTGCCCTCCTGTGTGAAGAGGAACACCCCCCCCCGAGGTGGTACACCCCCACGCGACCCACCCACCCACGCGACCCGGTCACACGTGGTACATTCCTACCACCGAGCCTGCGTTAAGCGGGGCTGGGCTGACGACGCACGTTCTCCCCACAGGGGCGTTGCGGGCTTGCAGGCCTCGCGTCTGCAGCGGAGCGTCCGCCGCCCCACGATCGGCAGCCCTGGGGGGATTCGGAGGTGCCCCCCCCTCCTCCCCAATCGAGCCGGGAACAACGGATGCTTCCGCGTTAGTCCCACACGGCGCCGGGCGTCACGTGGCACAAGCCTAGCCTGGTGCACACGGCTCAACGCGAAGGCAAACCCCCTCAGCCTTGCAGCCTGCACGGCGCGGTTGGGGCAAGCGCTGCTTGCGAGCGTCCATCGGGAGCGGCGCGAGCTGGGGCGTGGTGGGTGACACCACGGCACCACGGCAGGCCGCCTTGGCCGGGTCGACCCGGGGGAGGCCCGGGACCGGCTGAGCCATCGCTCGCTCCCGACGTCAGCCGTCGCAGCGCGGGTGTAGCCGGGTTCGTAGTGCGCCGGCGCTAACCGCTGCGCCGCCGCTAAACCGCACCTTTGACACCCACGCCTCCCCACGCGCATGGCGCGGGCCGTCCCCATTGGCCACCACTTGTCGTCAACAGCACCGACAGGTTCTACGCGAAAATCCACTCACCTGGCCCTCCTCCCCCCCCCCCCCCCCACCACCGCTCGCCACCATCCCCACAAACCGGACTTTCCTGTGCGTGCGCAGCCTGCCGTGAGAAGAGACCGGACACAGCAGGATGGCAGTCCCCGTGGCAGTCCTCACGTTTACCGCAGTGGTGGTGACGGCGACGCCGCCGACGGCGATGGCTGTTGTGACGGCGACGGCGACGATGACGACGACAGTCGTGACTGTGGCGGCTGTGCCCACGCTCCTCTCCGACGCGTTATCGGTTTGTTCGGGACTCGATGCCCGACGTTTCGCTGCATCCACTTTGAGCTCTGCAGTTCCTGAACAGCGCACGGCAATACCGACACACCCCCCCCCACCCCCCCCCCCCCCACCCAAAACAATCACACGGTGGGGGAGCGGCACAGCAACAACCGACGACGCTGCAGGCACGTGGGGCGAAACGTCGGGCAACACCGTGCCGAACAAACACTGGCGGCGGTGGCGCAACTCTTGCGAAGTGGGTCACTGCCAGCGGTCAGCTGCTGAACGGCGCAAGCTCGGCAGCGTGCGTGCACATCGCTCCCCCCCGATCCCCACGTCGCCCCCCCCCCCGATCCCCACGTCGCTCCCCCCCCGATCCCCACGTCGCCCCTCCGTCTTGGCTCCCCCGTGCCCACGTCGCCCCCCCCCGATCCCCACGTCGCCCCCCCCCCGATCCCCACGTCGCCCCCCCCCCGATCCCCACGTCGCCCCCCCCCGATCCCCACGTCGTCCCCCCGATCTCCACGTCGCCCCCCCCCCGATCCCCACGTCGCCCCCCCCCTCCGATCCCCACGTCGCCCCTCCCCCCGATCCCCACGTCGCCCCCCCCCCCCCCTCCGATCCCCACGTCGCCCCTCCCCCCGATCCCCACGTCGCCCCCCCCCCCGATCCCCACGTCGCTCCCCCCCCGATCCCCACGTCGCCCCTCCGTCTTGGCTCCCCCGTGCCCACGTCGCCCCCCCCCGATCCCCACGTCGCCCCCCCCCCCGATCCCCACGTCGCCCCCCCCCCCGATCCCCACGTCGCCCCCCCCCGATCCCCACGTCGTCCCCCCGATCTACACGTCGCCCCCCCCCCCCGATCCCCACGTCGCCCCCCCCCCCCCTCCGATCCCCACGTCGCCCCCCCCCCCCTCCGATCCCCACGTCGCCCCTCCCCCCGATCCCCACGTCGCCCCCCCCCCTCCGATCCCCACGTCGCCCCTCCCCCCGATCCCCACGTCGCCCCCCCCCCCCCCGATCCCCACGTCGCCCCTCCGTCTTGGCTCCCCCGTGCCCACGTCGCTCCCCGATGGGGGGGGGTGGGGCGGGGTGGGGTGGGAGGGGAACGCCTTCGCCCGGGGCGCCGCGCCTGCTCCGTCCAAACACCCAAACACCCCAAACACCCCACGCACCACGAGAACCGTGGGTGTGCACGGGGCTGTTCGCACGCGGCCGGCCTCACGACGCTCGACATAAACTCGTCCCAACCCGGAAACCGAAACCCTTCATAAATAAATCCCTTCGCTGATAAAAAAAACCCTTCGCTGATAAAACCCTTCGCTGATAAATCCTTTCGCTGGTAAAAACCCTTAGCTGGTAAAACCCTAGGCTGATAAAACCCTCGGCTGATAAAGTCCTCAACAAATAAAACTGAATAAGCATCGTGTTAACCGCGCGGTACCTGCGTTTTTAAGCGTTGCAGTAATCTTCGTGCATTTCAGGGAACGATTTAAAACAAAAAATATTACATTTACGTGGCTTAAATAAAAGTTTCTTGTTGTGGTTATTTTGCTTATTGATTGTTGGTTTTTTTTACGAAAAGAATTTTCTTTTACCTAGCAGGAAGTTGTTCGCGCTGTTGAAAGCTCGCGCACGTTTCCGGAAAAAATATCGAGGGACATTAATCCCTGGCCACCAGCGGTCTACCGAGGGCACGGGGAGCGTGGCGGACAGAGAGCGGCCGTTCTCTGGGCCCCACAGGTCCATGTTCATCTTCTCCCGCAGTTTCACGTCTTTACATTTGACAATGTGATCAGAATTTGACATTGTCAAATGTACTCCGGTCGCCCCAACTTAATGGCTTTTTTGTTTTCCCCATCAGTCACCGCCAAGGTGACCTCGCCGTCGGAGATATTTTTAATCTGGGTGCTAAACGCCGCTAAATAATCACTGTTAGCATCCGCCACCCTGAGGATGGGGGGGGGGGTGGTGGCGTTACCGCCGAGCCATTTTTGGGGCCTGCGACTTCAGGGGATGAACGTGCCGCCTGTGGCAACGTCTCATTATACCCCCCCCCCCATCCGGAGCCGCAAATAGACATTTCAATTATCGCTTTTGGCCGCGCGAAGATTCGCGACCGTCCCCGGCAGGTACCGACCAAGAGCTTTCAGAATCTGTGTCACTTCCCCTTAGTTCAAGTCGGCCGCTGTGCTCTGTTGAGGGGCAGCCGCGCAAAATTCCCCGCTCGCACCGCTGCCGGGCAAGTGGCCCTCCCGCTCTCAGAGCCCCCCTACTAGACCAGGGTGGTGTATTTCTTGGCCTACTCTTCCACGCCGCCGGTCAGGCGTCTTCGCGAGAGGGGGCGGTGGCTTTGATCAATGTTTCATTTACGTAAAGGTGTGGGTCGCACGAGGGGGGGACCCGGGGAACCAGAGAGGCAGGGTTACTTCTGCTTGCCCGGAGCTCCCGGCCCATACCTGCAGGGATGGGGGGGGGGCAAAGATTTGTTGATCCCCCCCCTGGCTTCCAGCCCACGAGAGAACTGCCTCCCCATGTCGACCAATATTTATCCTGCCAGGACTTGGTGTCAAACTGGTTTAGGGCACCTACCTGCGTCTCCCTCTCCTCCCTGCGTCTCCCCCTCCTCCCTGCGTCTCCCCCTCCTCCCTGCGTCTCCCTCTCCTCCCTGCGTCTCCTCCCTGCGTCTCCCTCTCCTCCCTGCACCTCCCCCTCCTCCCTGCGTCTCCCTCTCCTCCCTGCGTCTCCTCCTCCCTGCGTCTCCCCCTCCTCCCTGCGTCTCCCTCTCCTCCCTGCGTCTCCCTCTCCTCCCTGCTACTCCCCCTCCTCCCTGCGTCTCCCTCTCCTCCCTGCGTCTCCCCCTCCTCCCTGCGTTTCCCTCTCCTCCCTGCGTCTCCCTCGCCTCCCTGCGTCTCCCTCTATTCCCTGCACCTCCCCCTCCTCCCTGCGTCTCCCTCTCCTCCCTGCTTCTCCCCCTGCTCCCTGCGTCTCCCTCTCCTCCCTGCTTCTCCTCCCTGCTTCTCCCTCACCTCCCTGCGTCTCCCTCTCCTCCCTGCTTCTCCTTCTCCTCCCTGCGTCTCCCCCTCCTCCCTGCATCTCCTCCTCCTCCCTGCGTCTCCCCCTCATCCCTGCATCTCCTCCTCCTCCCTGCGTCTCTCCCTCCTCCCTGCGTCTCCCCCTCCTCCCTGCGTCTCCCTCTCCTCCCTGCGTCTCCCCCTCCTCCCTGCGTCTCCCCCTCCTCCCTGCGTCTCCCTCTCCTCCCTGCGTCTCCCTCTCCTCCCTGCGTCTCCCCCTCCTCCCTGCGTCTCCCCCTCCTCCCTGCGTCTCCCTCTCCTCCCTGCTTCTCCCTCTCCTCCCTGCACCTCCCCCTCCTCCCTGCACCTCCCCCTCCTCCCTGCACCTCTCCTACTGCGCATCCTTTCTGCTTCCACCCTGCCAGGCCACGTGCTGAGTGCGTCGTGGCTTTTGAGAAATTAACAGAAAGGTCACGTGGTGGGCGGCCACGTGGTGGGGGAGAGGGAGGGCGTTGAGAAGGAGGCGCCACGGTCTCGTGAAACCACAGCACAGCGGCTCCGATAGCATCGCAAGACGAACCCCTATGCCATGCGTGCAGCTCATCCCACGACGCCCCTGAATTCCTGTCTCTCCTCACCCCTCCTCCATAGCCCCTACATCCCTACCCCCCTACATTCTTACACCCTGACCCCTTACCGGACAACTGTTTAAAAAGCGCTTTATAGCTCATCGGATTCCTCCAGGATGAATAAAGATTATTATACATCACTACCCCCTGAGGCCCTATATCCACCCCCCCCCCTCTACAGTCCTACCCCCCTACCCCCCCCCCCCCCAAGATCCCTGACCCCCTGCATTCCCGCCCCCATGACCCTCGATATCCTGACCCTCGATACATCTCAACCCTCTCCCTGACCGCCTCCATCGCTCCCGAGGAGGCTTGGTGGGAGGCGAGGGAGGAGGATCAACACCGTGAACGGGTGGCGGCGAAGGGAGAAGAGGCGTGGGTGGGAGGGGGGGGCGTGGGAGAGGGGAGAATGCGCAGGGCGTGCACGGGCGAGGAGGTGGCGAAGGAGTAGAAGCGGGTGGGGGGTAGTGGGCGGGTAGTGGGGGGTTAGTGGGCGGGTTCGTGGGGGGTTCGTGGGGGGTGGGGATCTCTCCCCGTTCCTCACCCCGCCCACGTCGCGACGCTCGCGTGCAGAGCTGGAGGCGCGCGCCCAGGTGAGCAGCAGCGAGCAGCAGCGAGCAGCCACAGGTATGGCGATGAACAGGTGACCTGGTAAACAACCAGGTGAGCGGGTTGGTAAACGGGTGAGCGGTAGAGGAGGTAACCGGCCGGGTAAAACAGCCAAGGGAAGAGATCAGCAGGGCGCTACGCAGGTGAGAAGCTGGGCAGGTAAAGGAGTCCGTCGACTGGCTTCGGCGGGTATTCGTGAGCCGCCGGGCCAGGTGAGGAAGCGGGCAGGTAGACAGGTGAGTTCGCAGGTGAGACGAGACACGGAGCCGCCGCCCGTGCCTCCCCACTCCCCCCCCCCCCCCCCACCGCTAGTAGGGGTGGGGGGTGATCAGCAATCAACCCCCCCCCTCCCCCGCAATCAGCCAGCGTGAGACGAAAGAGACATTGAGGCGAGAGATACATTGAGGCGAGAGAGACATTGAGAGAGAGACATTGAGAGAGAGACATTGAGAGAGAGACATTGAGAGAGAGACATTGAGGCGAGAGAGACATTGAGAGAGAGAGAGACATTGATAGAGAGACATTGAGGCGAGAGACATTGAGAGAGAGAGAGACATTGAGAGAGACATTGAGAGAGAGAGAGACATTGAGAGAGAGACATTGAGGCGAGTGACATTGAGAGAGTGAGACATTGAGAGAGAGAGACATTGAGAGAGAGAGAGACATTGATAGAGAGACATTGAGGCGAGAGACATTGAGAGAGTGAGACATCGAAGAGAGAGAGAGACATTGAGAGAGTGAGACATTGAGAGAGACATTGAGGCGACGTAAGACGGGGCCGGCATGAGCGTCGTCTCGCGCGTCAAGGTGAGGGCACGACGGGAGCCGCCTTCTCCGGTGGTGGTTGATGGTGGCTGATGGTGATTGATGGTGGTT